TTTTTTTATTTTTTATTTACTTTTATTTTTCATATTAATAATAACAATTATTATTAATATTGGAGACCACTTTTGTTAATGACGTGGATGATGAGAAAAATCAAGATATAGATGCTGAAGAAAATGATGATATAGACAATGATTTTTAAATTATTATTTTGATTATTTTTACCATATACAGTTATTGTTAATCTTTAAATTATATTATGAACTATTAAATATTAAGTATTTTGTATTTGAAATTTTAAATATTTCATTTTAAACTTATTTCATCAATGAACAAACTTAACAATTTATTTTAAGATGTTTATATAATTTGTAATTTTTTGTTAAATTTGCTAGAATTTTACAATCCTATTTGTGATTTTACGATTTGCGATCTTATTTACCCTTTCAAATCTCAAGTAAAATTTCGATTTTAGCAACTTTGATTAGTACTAAAAAAAATTATGGCTACCTAAGAACACTAATCAACATATATACTCTAGCCTTATATATCTTCCAAACTGTTTTACTTCAATTGAAATTAAATCGAGAGAAGAGACTTAAGCAATTAAAGGAACATACTAAGAAACAATTATTTTGAGTTTGGATTGGTAAAATATCTCAATTAGCCGTGCGGGGAAGGAGTAAATATGTATCCTTTTCCGAAGTTCGTGTTTGGCCCTTTTCCTGATTAATCCGTCAATTCAATCATCTCCCTTGGTAATACTCCTGGAACTTCCTGCAAACCCAAACACATTATTCTCAAAATATAAATTGTAAATAAACGAAAAAGGGGAAAACGGACAAGGAAAACAAGACCAACCTCCATGTAAGCAGTCACCTGTTCTTATTCAACGTTCGTCTCCATTGCCTTCCGACCAAATCCTTAAAATTCAAAAGATAATGAAGATGCAAGAATCAGAATCAGACATGAAAACAAAGAAACTCTTAAAAATCAAGTAAAAAAAAATTAAAAAGAAAATAACGAAATACCTTGAGAGAAAGAGAAGACCAGAAGTACCGAAACAAGAAGAGCTTTGACAAACCGAAACCGACCCATTTTTCCTCAGAAAATCTGCGAAATGGGTGCCTCTCAGAATTTAAATACGACGAGTAGATAACAGATTATATTTTTTTGGGTTTGTCTAACCGTTGAAATTAAGGAAGTATTAATTGTATTTTTTTATAATTAATTTATATAAAAAATAAAAATTAATTTAAATT